GGTGTGTGTAGGTGCAGGTTGGTTTGTGACATGCACACTTGTTCACCACAAACGGCTTTCACATGCACATTACAAACAGCAACAATCAATCATTATCAGCTTAATTGTCTTCACGGTATGCTCTTAACAAATAAAAGGGAACTCAACATCTCATGGTTTCCATAAATCCATTTACTTTAACATACTCCTAAACTTTTAGGGACACTTAATCAGTTCTACAAACTGCGATCTGACTTGTTTTTTTCCCCCCTTCATAACTGGATTATCATTTATTTTGAGGATTTCTGGATTCATAGAAGACTATACTTTACAAAGCCCTTCCAGGCACATAGTTAAAGTTTGTCATCTACTGAGAGATGGCATAAAAATAGGTTTCAGAGTAGCAGCCGTGTTAGTCTGTATCCGCAAAAAGAACAGGAGTTCAATCATGAAGAAACAATGTAATTTATAAAGTAGTTAAAACTGTGGTTGTAATCATTTTTCAAAAGTCTGTTTCATGTGGCCAGCTATGGAGTGAAATTTTTAATAACCAACACTATTGCCTAGTACACTGCCTATGCTCTAGGCAGGTCAGCACCTGGGCAGCATTAAATCATAGCCCTGTGTTTCTCTCATGGGATTTAAATTTCCAGAGTATTAGAGCAGTGGTTCTCAACTTTTCCAGACCACTGTACCCCTTTCAGGAGTCTGATTTGTCTTGCATACCCTAAGTTACACCTCAGTTAAAACCTACTTGCTTACAAAATCAGACATAAAAATACAAAGGTGTTACTGCACAACTGTTACTGAAAAATTGATTACTTTCTCATTTTTACCATATCATTATAAAATAAATCAATTGGAATATAAATATTGTACTTACATTTCCGTGTATAGTATATAGAGCAGTATAAACAAGTCACTGTCTGTATGAAATTTTAGTTTGGACTGACTTCACGAGAGCTTTTTATGTAGCCTGTTGTAAAACTAGCCAAATATCTAGAAGAGTTGATGTACCCCCTGGAAGACCTCTGTGTACACCCAGCGGTACACATATCCCCTAGTTGAGAACCGCTGTATTAGAGTACCCCAAAATACACTTCAGTGTTCACTTAATCTCCAATACTATGATTCCCCAACCTTTCATTGTCAATAGGCTGGTTTTGTATATGACACCGTCAAAATCTAGATAAGAGAAATGGAATTTAAAGGAAAAATAAATGAATGAGGTTCTTGCACTCTCAAAACCATATTTTAATCTCTTATGTGCAGTGCCTCTTACATTTGTGAAGAGTATAAAAATTAAGGAGATTTACTGATTAAAAAAAAGTTGACAAAATATTTCAGCCCAGAAAGAAAGAGAAAAATAGAAGCCAGAGTAAAGAATACACTGCTGGTTCTGTGAAGTGCATTTCACAAAACACTGAACTTACTGTATTTTATTTAAAAACAAAAACAAAACCCAAACACCTGTCTTGTAGCTGTGAAATACTTTTTCTCAGTACGGGGTATAAGTATGTTGTATAACTTTGTAGTTAGGAATAGAAAAATTCAAATCTTTGTTTAGGATACACCTAGAGCTGTCAGACCTCAAGCGAAATATCCTGCTTGGTCACAGTTTTTCCATTTCTCATAAATTCCATGCTATGTATTAATGTGACAGTCGTTTAAACAAAGTTCAGGTAACAGAGGGAGTTATGGGAGAAAAACTAAAATGAATAGACGCTCAGGGCTTGATATTCCTTTACACCAGTCTGGCAGTGTAAAGCAGCCTTACAGTGAACGCAAATGTAATTTACGTAAATGAGCATAAATGAGAATGAGGCCCCTGCTGTCTATGCTGGTTTCTATGGCCTCTGGTACCAGCGGGATAACCTTAATACTTCTAAAAAAAAAATAAAAATAAAAAAAAAATAAACTAAGCTAAGCTTTTAAAATGTATTTTTAAACTTGCTGAAGCTTCAGAATTGCAGCCAAATTAAAGTTTTTTAACTTGAATTTTATTTATAATTAATTTAATAACATTCAGCAATTTTTATAAAGACATCCCATCCATCTTGTAATCTAATAACTGTCTTACAAAAGAAGCTTTTTTAAAAATGGAGAGAGGATTGGTGGCATACTGATCATACACTATCTGCATTGCCATCTAGAAGATCGGGGTTCAACTATTGCTCTGGGATGCTTGCTCATCAAGTGAGGACAACCTCTGGGAGCTTGAGGATGACTGAGGTGGAAGAGTGCTATTGCCATTCAACATTACCCTTTTTTTTGGCCAAATAAAGAAAAACTATTAGTGTGCTCCAAATGGAATTCCATTCAGTCCTCCTTAGAGAGAAAGTTAGTACTTGTGTACAAAGCCTTTTCTCTATGTATAGAGGAAAATATGTGCATCTTTCCAGTAATATTTCAAACTTACTTTTAATATTATATTCTTCAGTTTAGAAGGAACAAGATACCTCTACTGTTCTAAATTATGTCAGCTTCTGGAATGGAGGTGCACATTTCTACATGAAGTAGCTGCTATCATCATATAGTACATAACATATAAATATATAACAAACAAAAAGCAATAATTACCCATCCATTGACTCCATCATTATTGTATCAATGCTTCTGTGTAATAGTGACAAGTGACTGTTTTGGGGAGCAGGTTAAAGCCAGAAATATTTTCAATCTGTCCCCCAAGATAAGAGTATGTTAACCTATTTTTAAGCAGCAGTACAATCTTTCCTGAGAGAAAGCTGTGTGTGTTAAGCACAGAACTAGGAAACCAGAATTCAGGAGTTCCAATCTCCGCTCTGACCCTGACTTCTTTTGCAGCCTCGAGGAAGTCACTGGACAACTTTCCTTCCATTTACTCAACCAAAAACCTACTTGCTTCACATGGTATTTTAAGTGTTAATTAGTGTTTGTGAAGCCCTTTGAAGATGGAAAACATTATATAAGTTCTAAGCACTATTTTCAGAATTGTAACGAATAAAGCGATCCCAAATTACCAGATTTAGAAGTAGTTCTGTCTAGCACTATTTGAATTAGATAAACTAATGCATAGTACTCTCTCTTTAACTGAGATTGTTAAACTCTTGGTGATTACAGATGCCCTCTGATTTACGCAATTGTTCTGTTCTGGAAAGCCTTGCGTAACTCAAATTTTGCGTAAGTCAGAAACGTATACCCATACGTTATGCAAAAATTTCTGCAACTCGAAAATCCTATTTCTGGTTTAGCGAACTTTTTCCGTAAGTGTGAATTTGCGTAAGTCGGGTCTTTTGTAACCCAGGGAGCATCTGTACCTCAAAAAATAAATGATCAATTGGAAGAGATGGGGGACAGGGCATGTAGAAAAGAAAACCTTCTTATTCTTTACATTCTTTTAGAAAAATGCAAAGTTTAATTTAACATTTTGGGATATTGGAATTGACCCCAATCCCATTTTGTCACTTTCATTTCCTTTCTGTACATAAGTATTGGAGCATAAGTCTTTACCCACATGCCAAAATTGCCATTTGAGGCTTCTTTACCCTCACATAAACATACTTCCATTAATATTACAATGGAATAATTTACTTTTTTCATGCCGTTCCATTGCATCCTACCCCTTTTCCCAAACAGGGCTGGCAAAGGTATGTAGGTTTTGTCTGTATGCTGGACACTTCAATCAGCACAGACCAAATCTGTACCATAGAGAAAAAAATTGACAGAAATCACAAATTTAGGGTCTTTTGCAGAGTTTGTTGTATCATTCAGAATCACTGCTTTCAGTTAAATAATAATATTTCCAGTCAATCTGGCTATGAACTGATTACACAAGGTAAACCAGGAATGCCCAAATTGTGGCTAACTATGCCCACTGAGCTCCTTTCTACCCATACACAATTCCACCACACTGTCATGTGTAAATGCGTCTATGTTTGCATCTATGGGAGAAATGACCCAATGGCACTGAGCTGCCAGTTTATGGCAAAAAATGAGTTTTCTTTGTGTTCTTGTCTCTCTGCTGGAGTCCAAACAGAGGGTGCAGAGAGAACAGAAAAACAGGACTCTCAGTTTTGCAACAGACCTGTGATATTGCTGCTGACCATAATTATCAGTCAGGCTGATCTCCAGAGCCTGCTCTTCAAAAACCCTAAATCACAAAGCAACTCTAAAGGCACAATTTCTGGCAATAGCAATTCACATAAAAATATATATTTTTGGTCAAAGTCTAATTCAGAGTTGGGTTATTATTTCTAGTGACGGTCAAGTTTTTAGCTTTAGCATATTGGTGAACTATTTCCTTTTTGACGAAAAGAAAGGGGTGTGCTATGTGTCATAATCTGTTTGGGATTTTCATCTCCACATCCTCACATACAGACATTTCCACTGGAACTCTGTGTAAATCATATCCTATTAAGTGAATCCTTTTAGGGATTGTTACTTGTGTTAACACATTTACTGATTGACTTGATGTAGCCCTTTGAGAAGATAAACGGGCTAGTTTCTTAGAAGAACTGTCAGCTATTGTGTGTTTGTTGAATATACTGAAGAGACCCAACAGTAATATAGGTTTACATTGTTTTTGATAAAAATCTTTAATAAATGTGAAAAAAAAATTAGCAATCTCACTACTACGTGGCTTGATGCTTAAAATGTTCAAATGCAGAGTAATCCAAAATAAAAATTCAGAAGTGTTTTCTCTTTAAATAATCTTAATTACTTACTGTAATTGAAACTGGTCTAGGTAAGTACTTTTCAAAACAGACAGCTGTTACTTAAAATTATTTGACTCACTAATTTTTTCTTTTACTTTGCCTTCCTCAGCAGTTAAATAGCACCAGCAAAACGTGTAGCTGTCTAGTAACTGAGCAACACACTAAAACCATCAGTACTCTTGCTGTGCATGTTTTGTATATGTAAGAAATTAGAATGTTGTCTGGTGCACCACAAACTCCCAAATCTTGCAAATATAAATATCTTTTGCAGACTTATTATAATCCATTACATTCTTGGGTATTAATTACACAAAAATAAACACTTACTACTGTGCACAGTCAATCAGTTGGTATTCGTTTGACCTCTCGAAGCATGCCTTTACTCCTTCATCATCCCAGAGCTTTTTTGCATGTTCAAAGAATTCCTGAAAATTGGAAATGTGACAAATAAGAGAAGATTTCTCAGGTTTTGTTTTAATTAAAAAGAAACACAATGGTTCCTCCCTCCTCAAATCTTCATGTTTTAAAATGGTTGCAACATGAAAAATTATACATTTAAAGAAGAAAAGGTGAAGAATTATTAGTGAAGTCAAAGTCTCAGAAAAACTAGTTTGGACTGTTGAGTACTTTCACATATAACCTATCAATTGGTTTCAAGAATTTTATATGATCCAGCCTTTCACTACTTTTCCAAAAGAGCACTTGTTTATTTGGAAAGTAAGAATTAATAAACGGCTCCAGCCTAACTTCCCTGTGTGGCCAAAAGAAACGTTAAAAGGGTTGAAACCAGGTTGGTGTATCCCAGTGGCAGAAGACAAATTTCCAAGTAAAAAATCAGATTCGCTGACACGATGGAATTTGAATAGCAGATCCTCTTAAGGAAATCAAAGATGAGTTGGAACTGACTCTTAAAATTATAAGGAAACCTCAACACCAAACAACTGAGCACACAACTCCATAGTAGCATGAATATGGCAATGTTAAAGCACCCAAATTTATTTTTTGCTTTGAAGGACAGCTTGTTGGTTGCTTTTAGCAGCCTAGCAAAGAAAGCCCTGAAAGTTAGCTTCTAGTTGCTACCCCTGAAATTGGACCCTTTATTCCAGTGGTTCTCAACCCTTTCCAGACTACTGTACTCCTTTCAGGAATCTGATTTTTCTTGCGTACCCCAAGTTTTACCTCACTTAAAAACTCAGGCTTAAGCTTTCTGCCCTGGACCCCATCAAGTCTAACACTGGTCCTGGCGACCCCATTAAAACAGACTTGCCCTCAGTTTGAGAACCGCTGGTATACTGTATGGAACGGTATAAACAAGTCATTGTCTGTATGATATTTTACTTTAGTTTAGTTCACTAGTGCTTTTTATGTAGCCTGTTGTAAAACTAGGCAAATATCTAAATGCGTTGATGTAACTCCTGGAAGACCTCTGCATACCACTGGTTCAGAACCACTGCTTTATTCAAAAGACTCTGGCCTCAGATTCTGGGGAACCTAGTATTTTATATCTAGGACTATGCCATAATTAAGAAAACCATCCTGAAACCAAACTAACCCAACACACCTGTTCCTAAAAGTATAGAGAGCAGTTATAAAAGACAAGCAATGCTCTTTCTGTGTTTGGAGGCACTTGAAGCTACCTTGGCTCCATTGTTTGGCTGAGCCCAGCTCAGCCAAAAAAGGCAAAAAAACCCACCACAATTAGGAAGGTCCCTCATGTAACTTCACTGGAGACTGGACCTTTTGTAGAAGCTCTGCAGAAACCAGAGAAAAAGTGTTGATGATACAGAAGCCTATGGTCTTCCCTCTGAGACAGAAATAAAACAATGGTCTCCCATCATAGTGGAAGGTAGCTCTTTGCTGTCAGAAATTACATTCTGGAAGAGATGTAAAACCAAGACTCTTATCTTTTATGTGAATTAAAGAGTCCATGGCACTTACCACAAGAATAGATGTGCTGGCCCTAGTGAGCTGGACAAAATCCACTTTACAAAATTACATTTTGTCTACCTAAATTTCACACTGCAGTTGCATTTGGAGATGGCATTATCTTTCACTTCCTGCCCTAAAAACCTATTGTGTACTATTGCTGTATGCTGTTTAAAAGCTTTTGTATCCCACTCCAGAATGTGTTGTTAGAACAGGGAACTTGGGGTCAGGACTCTCTACCTCTATTACAAACCAAAACAAAAAACAAAAAAATCAATCCCCCCACAACCTGTTAAAAAAAGTAACAGTTACAATTGCTAAATTACAAGGTATTTACCTATCACATCATTTATAAAAACACAAGTCCTTGTAATTAAGAGCATCATAAATCTTACACTTCCCAAATAATAAACAAACGTATTATTCTCATCCAGTGTGATGAAATTTCATTATAACAAAAGAACTTTAACTCTGACCCATAGAATTTTAGAGCTTTGTTATTGTTGGGGTTTTTATTGGGGTTTTTGCTGTTGTAACTAAGTAAATTTTGGTATTTTCTTTTAAACAATAATGTGAAGTGGGAAGCAACTAACATGTATCAATTGGCAGTAGAAGTTTTTAGTAATGCACAAATTGCTGTTTATTGAGAATAATGTTGCATATCTAATTTAATAGGAAAAATATGTAACATTGTCAGAAGAGTAAATCTGGATATGATCAGGACAATCTAATTTTCCAAGCCAAAGCTACAGGGCAAGCTAATATGTAGCTTTATAATGGAAGCTGGTTGTAACCTCAACTCTGGAAAGGCTATTGCCTCTTCCTAATTCCTGGCTCAGCTACTAACTTGCTATGTGACTTTCAGCAAATTACTTAACTTGTATCTGATTCAATTGCACTAGGGAAAATGTGTATAAAAACACTATATACATCATAGGACTGTTATGAGGCTCAATGACTGTCTGTAAATTACAGAAATGGATGAAAAAGCATGTTTTCCAACCCCTACTATATCCTTTAAACAAGAACAATCTTTTCTGTGGTAGTAAAATTCATAGCAGAAATTTTCTGTTAATGCATTACATTAGTATTGAAATCACCCTCCAGTCTTAAACCCCACCTCCAAAAAACACCACCCACAAGGTAATACAGCATGTCTAATCTTCAGTAAGTGACTACCAGATGCTGACAAACCTTTCAGGTTAGAGTACAAATGGAGGAAAGGTTCTGAGAAGAGATGGTACACCATAAAAGCAAACCATTATTTTTCAAATGTACCGTATGTAATGTAGATGCAGTAAAATAAAGATAAATGACTTCCACTTTCCTGAAGGATTTCAAACCTTGAAGAAAGTGAGGTGTTAAACAATAAAACACAACACTCTGAATTGCGTTAATTCACAACTACTGTTTCTCTTTCTATTGTGACTATTACAAGGGCATCCAGATGGCTAACTGGATGCAAGAGATTATAATCAAATGAAAAACAAACATTTCTCTCTCTCTCAAGTCATTTTTTCAGACTTCAAGAGAGAACTTGATGGTATAATAATCTCAATTCTTTTTAGATTTACTCACTTCACAAATTCTGGAGCCAGACCCATCTAGGTCAACCAGAACCACCCACTAACCTAAGCCTTACAATTCAAAAGAAGTTTTCCTTTGGTGGGTTTTTCCTTTTGATTTTTGTGTTGAAGAGGAAATGAAGTATTCGGTGACCTTGAAAGGAAAAATTCTGGTAACTGTGTAGGATAGGAGAGTCTCTAAAAATTCCTAGTAATTCTTTAAACATCAAAATTCTACCTTTTGAAGTTATGCTACAGCCACCATAAAGCCCTCCGCTCTTACAGCAGAAAGAGAAACCAAGTGAGAAAACAAAGAAAGAAAAAATTAAGAGGGTGGAGCAAGGAGAGAACTGAGAACATAAAACAGAGAATGCGGCTATAAAATATAAAAATGAAAGATCAAAGAATTAATAGAGAGATAGAAAGGAAAGATATAAGAAAGGATATAAAAAATAAATCAATAAAATAACTGGAGATAGGAAGAAATCAAAAAGGAAAATAAAAATCAGAAAATATGGCACAATCTTTAGATTAAAATATTTGTTTCAAATAAATATTTAATCCTATATTTTATTGGATTTCTCTGTTTAGATTGGCCTGTATTGTAATCCAAGAGTACTGTCATTTAAGAGAAGGACATGAGGAAGCAGCATGGTGCCAGGAGAAAAGTTCAGCTGTGGTCCCCAGATTTAGGGTCCAATGCTTCAGTTCCTGGAGTATGATGAGCTGAAACCCCTCTCTTCCCTCATGGCATCTATCTTTGTAGGCCAACCTGTGATAAGATATGGTGGGAGTAGGAGGTGGAGACATTAGTATAAAACCACGCCCTTTTCCAAAAACTGGTATTGATTGAGAGACACTGGGTATCTCAAAAACTCACTGCTTACAGGCTTCTCCTACTTTACTTATGTTTGTACCTCCTCATGGTAAACACCTCTGACTCCTAGGTGTTTATTTTTAAAATTTATATTTCACTTTCTATAGAAAAAAACTGTAGCTTTTGGAGGCAAACAGTGTTTTGGTAGTGGGTAAAATAAAGTACTTTTAATTTGCACTAAAAAATTCAATTTCTCTTCTCTATTTTTGTTTTACATCTGTTTTTCATTAGATGCAAATTTAATTTTGCATTTCTTTCTCCACAAGTATAATTCTGCATATCTATTATCCCCATTTTGGATACAGACACCTTACACAAATCATTGTTGGTCTCTAAGACCATACAAATACGTTGGGCAGAAATTATATGCCTCAAATATTTTAGCCTGGTTATTTTATTTTACAGCAGACTGTTTAAAATTATTCCCAGATTTCTTAGTCTAACACAAGTCCTATAATACAGAACAAATACACTTGCCTCTTTAAAATGTATTGAGCTACTGCAGAGGAGCATATTTGTCTGCAAATTGCCTCCCACCTACATTTACAATCCTTTTTCCTTGATGACTAAACCGTTCCACAAAAATCCTACACCATTTCAAGACTACCATCAACACCATTCACTTTCCATGCTCACTTTTAACCCTGTCTCTTCCCCTAACAAGCACCCTAATACATTATCCCTTTCTTAGCTGCTCAAGACACCAAGATGTGACCCAGATCCCACATCCCAAATTCACCTATTACACCTTGAGAATTGCCTAGATCCAGCCTACTTCCTACCTTCATCCACTAAGACATTAGATAGCATTTATTCGGCTTGCTGGTAAGATTTTAAAAAATAACTAGTGCTTTTAGCTGCCTCAGTTTTTAGATGTCCAACCTAAGGCATATCAGATTTGCGAGGCTGGGGGCTCAGAACTTCCTGAAATCAGGCCCCTTAAGAAGTCTCAAGTTGGACATGTAAAAATTGAGGCACTCCCAAATCACTAGTGACTTTTTACAATCTTGGTCTAAAGAAATATAAAATTGAGCATTGATATTTATTGTAGACACCT